TTGCAGTCAGCAGCAGCAGCAGCAGAAGCAGCAGCAGCAGCAGGAGGTGCTGCTGCAGCACAAACTCTGTCTCCGTTTGAATCCGATACAGAGGAGACAGACGAAGCTGAAAGCCTGGAGCAGCAGCAGCGGCGGCAGCAGCGGCAGCAGCAGCAGCAGCAGCAGCGGCTGCTGCAGCAACAACTACAAGCGACAGATCCTCTACATATAGTGGAGCTTGAGCTGCGGCGTTCCCAAAAGCAGCAGCTGCAGCGGCACCTGCAGAAGGTGCACGAGCTGCAGCAGCAGCAGCTGCAGCAGCAGCAGCTGCAGCAGCAGCGACTGCAGCAGGAGCGAATGAGAAAACAGGAGGAGGAGATGCAGGTGATGCAGCAGGAGCAGCAGCAACTAAGACAGCAGCAGCTGCTGCGCATGCTGCAGCGCATACAGGGCCTGCAGCGGGAGGAACAGCAGCAGCAGATGGAGTCAGCACAGAACAATGCTGTCCTCACTCACCAACACAACCAGGGGGCCCCCCTGGAGGGGCCCCCTGAGGGGCCCCTCCCCCAAGGGGCCCCCCTAGAGGGGCCCCTTGAGGGGCCCTTCCCCCAAGGGGCCCCCCTGGAGGGGCCCCTTGAGGGGGCCCCCCTGCAGTGGGCCACCCTGGAGGGGACCCTTGAGGGGGCCCCCCTGCAGTGGGCCCCCCTGGAGTTGACCCCTGAGGGGCCCTTCCCCCAAGGGGCCTCCCTGGAGGGCCCCCTCGAGGGGGCCCCCCTGCAGGGGGCCCCCCTAGAGGGGCCCCCCGAGGGGACCGCCGAGGGGCCCACCCCACAAGGGGGCCCCCTGGAGGGGCCCCCCGAGGGGGCCCCCACCCAAGGGGCCCCCACCCAAGGGGGCCCCCTGGAGGGGCCCCTCGAGGGGCCCTTCGTGTGGCCCCTACAGGGGCCCCCTGAGGGGCCCCCTGAGGGGGCCCCCTTAACTGGAGTAGACGTTGACTCGCTGCTGGCTGTTTGTGGGAGTCAGCAAAAGGAGACAGTCTCCACAGAAGTGGATGCTGCAACTGCTCTATACTTTTCCTCCTATGTTGATCGGATGCAGCAGCAGTGCAGCAGCAGCAGCAGCAGCAGCGATGACAGCAGCAGCACCAGCAGCAGGAGCAGCAGCAGCAATTGCAGCTGCAGCAACAGCATGAACTGCTGCTGCAGCAGTTCTTTTGCTCAGCAGCAGGAACAGCAGCTGCAGCAGCAGGAGGAACAGCAGCTGCAGCAGCAGCAGCTGCAGCTGGAGCAGCAGCAGGAGCTGCTGCAGCAGCAGCTGCAGCAGCTGGAGCAGCTGCAGCAGCAAGGAGAGGGGGCCCAGCTGTCTCTTCTTGATCACCTTCGGCTGCTTGCTGGTGCGCGAGGCCTCATATATGGAGACAACGGAGAAGAGTATATAAATACAGAAAAGGATACAAATATAAATATTTTTTCTCCCTCTTGTATTTATAATAATACACAACAAACCACAGAACAAATAACACAAACACTAAATACTCTGATGCCGGTTGATTGCTGCAACGGCAACAGCAGCAGCAGCAGCAGCAGCAGCAGCAGCAGCAGCAGCAGCAGCAACAACAACGCGAACAGCAATAGCACTGACACCAGCGACAGCAGCAGCAGCAGCAGCGACAGCACCAGCAGCAGCTACAGCAGCAGCGGTGACAGCAGCAGCTACAGCAGCAGCGGTGACAGCAGCAGCTACAGCAGCAGCGGCGACAGCAGCAGCTACAGCAGCAGCTACAGCAGCAGCTACAGCAGCAGCTACAGCAGCAGCAGCAGCAGCAGCAGCAGCACAGCAGATCCCCCGCATATTCTTGCAGCAATCGAAGCAATTCAGCTGCAAGGAGTTTATGAGGAGCCATCCCCATAGAAAAAAGAAAAAAAATATATATATATATATATA